GGCTGGCTTCACTCGGTCACTGTGACGTAGGCGCGGGACCCGAAGCTTGTTGTCTTGCAGTACTTGCTCGACGTGCTGAAGCTCGGCGGCCAGATGTTTTCTGTCACAGATCCCTCGTGCTCTCTGAAACAAAGATTTTCCCACGGTAGCTAACTGTGAAGGATGATGGTGAGATTCACCATTTAAATATCGGTTGGTATGGGTATTTTTTCTGTACACAGTATGACCAATAGTGTTATCAGGATTTCGGATGACTAAAACATCTAGAAAAGCTAAAGTATTGTTTGCCTCTAACTCCATTGTGAATTGTATTTTAGGGTTTATGGAATTAAGGTGGTTTAAAAATGCAGTTACTTTGTCAGATGGTAAAATTGTGAAAGTATCGTCTACGTACCGCTTGTAGAATCTTGGATTTACAGGAGCAGTAAGAAGGGCTTTCTCCTCAAAGTCCTCCATGAATATGTCGGCGACTACGGGAGATACAGGTGAGCCCATTGCCACTCCATCTACTTGCATGTAGAACTCTTCTTTCCACAATAAATAGCCAGATGTGAGGCAGTGTTTGAGTAATACTGCATATTCTGTAGGCATGTTGTTATCTTCTAGCTTTCTAGTAACAATTGAGATGCAGTCTTCAATAGGTAGGCATGTGAATAGTGACTGAACATCAAAACTGACCATAGTTTCATTGTCAGCGAGATGTAGGTCTTTAATCTCACTAACAAATTGGTATGAATCCTTTGTGTGTGCTCTGGTATGTCCTCTTAGTGGTGACAGTATTTTCGCCAAGTGTTGAGCCAACTTATAAGTTGGTGAATCGATCTGGCTTACTATAGGACGTAGTGGAGCGTTTGGTTTGTGAATTTTCGGTAACCCATACAACCTCGGTGGTTTGGCACATGATGGTATTGTCGAATTCACGTCAAGATTTAATTTTTCGGAGTATTTCTTTATTAAATCAGTAGTTGTTTTGAGTGTATTAGTTGTAGGGTCTATTTTGACCTTTTTGTATGTACTTACGTCCGATAAAAGTTGTTGTATTTTGAAATTATACTCTGACGTGTCCATTATTACCGTAGCATTTCCTTTATCTGCGCGGAGAATCGTGAGCTCTGGTCTGTTGCGTAAGTTGTACAACGCTTTAAATTCGTCTTTGGGCAGGTTTAATTTCGGCGCTGAACTTCGACGTAACAAGGACGAAATGTCTTGACGTATAGCCTCTAAATCCTCTTTACCGATATTATTCTTAAACAGACAATCCTCAACACTACAGATAATTTCCTCGTACGGGATTTTTTGCGGCGTTATAGCAAAATTTAAGCCTTTCGACAATACTCTTATTGTTGGTTCGTCCAGTGTTTCTTTTGACAAATTATAGACCGTGCGTTGTTTATTGTTTGCGTCTGTGGTCAACGGTTGTTGCGTTTCGTTTCTACGTTGACATGGATGTTTGGCATTTGATTTGATAGTTAATTTTTGGTATTTTTCTATTTGTTTGTCTTTGCATTCATTATATTTCGATATTTCGCGTTTGTTTAAAGTTTCAATGCAATTATTAAAATCAAATGTCGTTAAAACGGTCTTTAACTCACTGGACAAATTGTCTATGGTATTATTTATGATTTGTAAATCGAACCGTTTTTGCTGAATCACCGTTCGTAACAACTTTTTACTTGCCTGATTTAAGATCTTAGCGCTTCCTCGAATGTCCTTTTTAGTAGATATTTTGACGCACGTAGGAATGAGCTGGTGGTCGCGGCACCTTTTCAGAAAATTCAACGATGTTACATATCTTGCGCGCTTGGTCATGAGATCTTCTAATCGGCGAATTTTATTTGCAATTACCAGTCCGTACTGGTTTACATAATGATTTCTTATATTTACGCGAACACTACACATTTTTAAATAAAACTAATTTTACGGATTTTATCGCGTATATTAACTTATTTTTAACTTATTTTTATATTCCCGACGTTTCGGGTGCTTTCCAGCACCCGTGGTCACGGGGGACTGAGTTGTTTGACGTCCTACTGTCATAGTTAGCCCGGCTACCTTCAGTTTTTTAATATTAATTTTCGGTTCGATTTACGCAGAATGAGCTTACAGTATCTTGAAGTCTAGCAGTGGTATACTTGGGTTTGGATTTGATTTTATTAATTATGGGATCCCAAGCAGATGGCAGAACCCATCCATCTTCTCTATTGAAATTAGGATGTTTTTTAATTTCAATAGCCTCGCGAATCATCCTTGGGAGGAATCGGTGTTCTTTTGCGAGGATTTGTGGTCTATCAAATCTAATGTAATGACGGGGACGATCCTGAACATGTTCACAAACTGCAGACTTCCCGATACGTCGGTGCTTCACGTCAGCTATATGTTCTTTAACGCGGGTTTTAATAGATCTTTTTGTTTGTCCTATGTACGAGAGACCACATTCACAATCCAGCTTGTACACTCCTGCATCTTGTAGAGGGATATGACACTTGACGGATGGTAAAAATTGACCAATCTTCTTCAGCGGCTTCACCACCAGCTCATTCCTACGTGCGTCAAAATATCTACTAAAAAGGACATTCGAGGAAGCGCTAAGATCTTAAATCAGGCAAGTAAAAAGTTGTTACGAACGGTGATTCAGCAAAAACGGTTCGATTTACAAATCATAAATAATACCATAGACAATTTGTCCAGTGAGTTAAAGACCGTTTTAACGACATTTGATTTTAATAATTGCATTGAAACTTTAAACAAACGCGAAATATCGAAATATAATGAATGCAAAGACAAACAAATAGAAAAATACCAAAAATTAACTATCAAATCAAATGCCAAACATCCATGTCAACGTAGAAACGAAACGCAACAACCGTTGACCACAGACGCAAACAATAAACAACGCACGGTCTATAATTTGTCAAAAGAAACACTGGACGAACCAACAATAAGAGTATTGTCGAAAGGCTTAAATTTTGCTATAACGCCGCAAAAAATCCCGTACGAGGAAATTATCTGTAGTGTTGAGGATTGTCTGTTTAAGAATAATATCGGTAAAGAGGATTTAGAGGCTATACGTCAAGACATTTCGTCCTTGTTACGTCGAAGTTCAGCGCCGAAATTAAACCTGCCCAAAGACGAATTTAAAGCGTTGTACAACTTACGCAACAGACCAGAGCTCACGATTCTCCGCGCAGATAAAGGAAATGCTACGGTAATAATGGACACGTCAGAGTATAATTTCAAAATACAACAACTTTTATCGGACGTAAGTACATACAAAAAGGTCAAAATAGACCCTACAACTAATACACTCAAAACAACTACTGATTTAATAAAGAAATACTCCGAAAAATTAAATCTTGACGTGAATTCGACAATACCATCATGTGCCAAACCACCGAGGTTGTATGGGTTACCGAAAATACACAAACCAAACGCTCCACTACGTCCTATAGTAAGCCAGATCGATTCACCAACTTATAAGTTGGCTCAACACTTGGCGAAAATACTGTCACCACTAAGAGGACATACCAGAGCACACACAAAGGATTCATACCAATTTGTTAGTGAGATTAAAGACCTACATCTCGCTGACAATGAAACTATGGTCAGTTTTGATGTTCAGTCACTATTCACATGCCTACCTATTGAAGACTGCATCTCAATTGTTACTAGAAAGCTAGAAGATAACAACATGCCTACAGAATATGCAGTATTACTCAAACACTGCCTCACATCTGGCTATTTATTGTGGAAAGAAGAGTTCTACATGCAAGTAGATGGAGTGGCAATGGGCTCACCTGTATCTCCCGTAGTCGCCGACATATTCATGGAGGACTTTGAGGAGAAAGCCCTTCTTACTGCTCCTGTAAATCCAAGATTCTACAAGCGGTACGTAGACGATACTTTCACAATTTTACCATCTGACAAAGTAACTGCATTTTTAAACCACCTTAATTCCATAAACCCTAAAATACAATTCACAATGGAGTTAGAGGCAAACAATACTTTAGCTTTTCTAGATGTTTTAGTCATCCGAAATCCTGATAACACTATTGGTCATACTGTGTACAGAAAAAATACCCATACCAACCGATATTTAAATGGTGAATCTCACCATCATCCTTCACAGTTAGCTACCGTGGGAAAATCTTTGTTTCAGAGAGCACGAGGGATCTGTGACAGAAAACATCTGGCCGCCGAGCTTCAGCACGTCGAGCAAGTACTGCAAGACAACAAGCTTCGGGTCCCGCGCCTACGTCACAGTGACCGAGTGAAGCCAGCCACAGTCGAGCGTGTGCCTGCTGTACTACCCTATGTCAGAGGAGTCACAGACAAGGTTGGCTACATCTTGAAGCGAGCTTCCATTAAAACGTACTTCAAGCCGCTGAAGAAGATTGGTCAATTTTTACCATCCGTCAAGTGTCATATCCCTCTACAAGATGCAGGAGTGTACAAGCTGGATTGTGAATGTGGTCTCTCGTACATAGGACAAACAAAAAGATCTATTAAAACCCGCGTTAAAGAACATATAGCTGACGTGAAGCACCGACGTATCGGGAAGTCTGCAGTTTGTGAACATGTTCAGGATCGTCCCCGTCATTACATTAGATTTGATAGACCACAAATCCTCGCAAAAGAACACCGATTCCTCCCAAGGATGATTCGCGAGGCTATTGAAATTAAAAAACATCCTAATTTCAATAGAGAAGATGGATGGGTTCTGCCATCTGCTTGGGATCCCATAATTAATAAAATCAAATCCAAACCCAAGTATACCACTGCTAGACTTCAAGATACTGTAAGCTCATTCTGCGTAAATCGAACCGAAAATTAATATTAAAAAACTGAAGGTAGCCGGGCTAACTATGACAGTAGGACGTCAAACAACTCAGTCCCCCGTGACCACGGGTGCTGGAAAGCACCCGAAACGTCGGGAATATAAAAATAAGTTAAAAATAAGTTAATATACGCGATAAAATCCGTAAAATTAGTTTTATTTAAAAATGTGTAGTGTTCGCGTAAATATAAGAAATCATTATGTAAACCAGTACGGACTGGTAATTGCAAATAAAATTCGCCGATTAGAAGATCTCATGACCAAGCGCGCAAGATATGTAACATCGTTGAATTTTCTGAAAAGGTGCCGCGACCACCAGCTCATTCCTACGTGCGTCAAAATATCTACTAAAAAGGACATTCGAGGAAGCGCTAAGATCTTAAATCAGGCAAGTAAAAAGTTGTTACGAACGGTGATTCAGCAAAAACGGTTCGATTTACAAATCATAAATAATACCATAGACAATTTGTCCAGTGAGTTAAAGACCGTTTTAACGACATTTGATTTTAATAATTGCATTGAAACTTTAAACAAACGCGAAATATCGAAACATAATGAATGCAAAGACAAACAAATAGAAAAATACCAAAAATTAACTATCAAATCAAATGCCAAACATCCATGTCAACGTAGAAACGAAACGCAACAACCGTTGACCACAGACGCAAACAATAAACAACGCACGGTCTATAATTTGTCAAAAGAAACACTGGACGAACCAACAATAAGAGTATTGTCGAAAGGCTTAAATTTTGCTATAACGCCGCAAAAAATCCCGTACGAGGAAATTATCTGTAGTGTTGAGGATTGTCTGTTTAAGAATAATATCGGTAAAGAGGATTTAGAGGCTATACGTCAAGACATTTCGTCCTTGTTACGTCGAAGTTCAGCGCCGAAATTAAACCTGCCCAAAGACGAATTTAAAGCGTTGTACAACTTACGCAACAGACCAGAGCTCACGATTCTCCGCGCAGATAAAGGAAATGCTACGGTAATAATGGACACGTCAGAGTATAATTTCAAAATACAACAACTTTTATCGGACGTAAGTACATACAAAAAGGTCAAAATAGACCCTACAACTAATACACTCAAAACAACTACTGATTTAATAAAGAAATACTCCGAAAAATTAAATCTTGACGTGAATTCGACAATACCATCATGTGCCAAACCACCGAGGTTGTATGGGTTACCGAAAATACACAAACCAAACGCTCCACTACGTCCTATAGTAAGCCAGATCGATTCACCAACTTATAAGTTGGCTCAACACTTGGCGAAAATACTGTCACCACTAAGAGGACATACCAGAGCACACACAAAGGATTCATACCAATTTGTTAGTGAGATTAAAGACCTACATCTCGCTGACAATGAAACTATGGTCAGTTTTGATGTTCAGTCACTATTCACATGCCTACCTATTGAAGACTGCATCTCAATTGTTACTAGAAAGCTAGAAGATAACAACATGCCTACAGAATATGCAGTATTACTCAAACACTGCCTCACATCTGGCTATTTATTGTGGAAAGAAGAGTTCTACATGCAAGTAGATGGAGTGGCAATGGGCTCACCTGTATCTCCCGTAGTCGCCGACATATTCATGGAGGACTTTGAGGAGAAAGCCCTTCTTACTGCTCCTGTAAATCCAAGATTCTACAAGCGGTACGTAGACGATACTTTCACAATTTTACCATCTGACAAAGTAACTGCATTTTTAAACCACCTTAATTCCATAAACCCTAAAATACAATTCACAATGGAGTTAGAGGCAAACAATACTTTAGCTTTTCTAGATGTTTTAGTCATCCGAAATCCTGATAACACTATTGGTCATACTGTGTACAGAAAAAATACCCATACCAACCGATATTTAAATGGTGAATCTCACCATCATCCTTCACAGTTAGCTACCGTGGGAAAATCTTTGTTTCAGAGAGCACGAGGGATCTGTGACAGAAAACATCTGGCCGCCGAGCTTCAGCACGTCGAGCAAGTACTGCAAGACAACAAGCTTCGGGTCCCGCGCCTACGTCACAGTGACCGAGTGAAGCCAGCCACAGTCGAGCGTGTGCCTGCTGTACTACCCTATGTCAGAGGAGTCACAGACAAGGTTGGCTACATCTTGAAGCGAGCTTCCATTAAAACGTACTTCAAGCCGCTGAAGAAGATTGGTCAATTTTTACCATCCGTCAAGTGTCATATCCCTCTACAAGATGCAGGAGTGTACAAGCTGGATTGTGAATGTGGTCTCTCGTACATAGGACAAACAAAAAGATCTATTAAAACCCGCGTTAAAGAACATATAGCTGACGTGAAGCACCGACGTATCGGGAAGTCTGCAGTTTGTGAACATGTTCAGGATCGTCCCCGTCATTACATTAGATTTGATAGACCACAAATCCTCGCAAAAGAACACCGATTCCTCCCAAGGATGATTCGCGAGGCTATTGAAATTAAAAAACATCCTAATTTCAATAGAGAAGATGGATGGGTTCTGCCATCTGCTTGGGATCCCATAATTAATAAAATCAAATCCAAACCCAAGTATACCACTGCTAGACTTCAAGATACTGTAAGCTCATTCTGCGTAAATCGAACCGAAAATTAATATTAAAAAACTGAAGGTAGCCGGGCTAACTATGACAGTAGGACGTCAAACAACTCAGTCCCCCGTGACCACGGGTGCTGGAAAGCACCCGAAACGTCGGGAATATAAAAATAAGTTAAAAATAAGTTAATATACGCGATAAAATCCGTAAAATTAGTTTTATTTAAAAACGAAGCATTCCCTCTTAGTCCTCACGGGTGCCGATGCATCTGCGTTTTGATTTTTTATTTAGGATAGATGTAGATGTCTATGGGTCATAGCATCCACTTACCATCAGGTGGACTGTATTTTCGTTTGTCACCCTATCCTATAAAAAAACTACTTTAAAATACATAAATATATTGAGTATAATGATGGTGAACAATGATGGAAAGTATGTACTTGTATGTAATACTGTTACGAGCTTGAGGTTCGAGACAATTAAAAACTGCCGATTGAATTACCAAAATTGACACTTTAATTACACAACACTAATAATAATCTAAAATCACACTAATAATAAAACACAGTTCGCCGTTATTTCGCTTCGAAGTATTCTCTTGTATCGCCAATTCAATACTGCCCCGGTCGTGGTCTATACCGGCCTTATATAGGGCCTCAGATAGTTTCCAGAACCTTCTACTGTAGCGACATCTAGAATGTTCGAGTACATATCGGTCCCGAAATTTCTGGAAGGATCTCGACTCTCCTAGTTCTGCTACTCGACACTAGAGGGCGCTAGTGTGACTAGTGTTGCCATGTACAAGACATTAATAGTGGCGCGCAATACTTTCATTTACTCGACACTAGGGGACGCTAGTGTAACTAGTGTTGCCATGTACAAGACATTAATAGTGGCGCGTAACACTGCCCCCTCCTAAGACATGCTCGTCCCGAGCATTATTGGCCCCATAATAACGCGCCAGTCGATCCACATGGACAATCTTAGGAGTACCTCTGGCACCTTTCTGTATCCGGTAGGTTACATCATTGATCCTTGTCACAATCCGGTACGGTCCGTCCCATTTAGCTTGAAGCTTAGGAGATTTCCCTTTGCTGCGAACTGGATTGTGTAACCACACTAGTGAACCTTCATCAAAGCCCTTGTTGTTCATTTTGCGGTCATACCGTGTTTTCATCTTCTCAGACGTTTGCTGGCCCGTCTGTCTGACATGCTCATAAATGTCATTCATTTTGTTCCGCAAGTCATTTGCATAATCGGTTATACTGCGTGGGGCATCGGGTGGTATTCCGGTGATCAGGTCTGCAGGCACCCGCAATTCTCTCCCAAAGTTTGCGAAAGCTGGCGTCAATGATGTACTTTCGTGAACAGCGCTTCGATATGACAACAAAAACGGTTGTATGTGCCTGTCCCAGTCTCGTTGCCGTTTTTCCACAACTTTTGCCAGGTACCTTTCCAATGTCTGATTAAATCGTTCTACCATTCCATCAGATTGTGGGTGGTAAGAAGTCGTTCGTGTTTTATGAGTACCCATAACTCTGCAAGTTTCCTGGAATATTTGAGACTCGAAATTCCTTCCTTGATCGCTGTGAATCTCTAAGGGTACTCCAAAACGACAGAAGACTTCATGAACTAGTTTATCTGCAACTGTTGAAGCTTCTTGATTTGGAATGGCGAAGACTTCTGGCCACTTAGTGAAGTAATCCATCACAACCATGAAATACTTGTTACCACTTTCACTTTCCGGAAACGGCCCCGCAACGTCAATGGCTATCCTCTCCCATGGTGCACCAACATTGTACAATTTCAATGCGCCTCTACTACGAATTTGAGGTCCCTTTACAGCCGCACAACTTGTACATTTGCGGCACCAGTCCTCGACATCGTCACGACAGTGGACCCAGTACAACCGTTCTCGGATCTTCAGGAGAGTTCGTTTAACTCCCAGGTGGCCTCCTGAAGAACTACTATGGTACAGTTGTAGAACATCCGGTACTTTAGCCTTAGGGACAACCATTTGCAAATGACATTTGTCTCCCCGACCATTTTCCCATTTACGGCACAGGACTCCATCCTGAATCAGCAAGCTGTCCCATTGGGCCCAATAGCTTTTCGTGGTCGAACTCATTGCTGAGACGTCGCTCCACTTGGGCTTAGGAGCACTGGCCTTCATCCATTCCAGAATCGGCTTAATGTCCGAATCTTCCTGCTGTGCATGTTGTAGGCTGTCCTTCCACTCATTGCTGAGCTGGTCTGTCCTGAGCATTCTCACAGATACCACTTCCTTACCCTCTTGCCTAGTACAATGCTTGCAATCTTCAGGGCAAGGTCTTCTTGACAATGCATCTGCATTGCCATGAGATTTCCCGCTGCGATGTTCGATCACAAAGTCGTATTCCTGCAGTAGTTCAATCCATCTCGCAACTTGTCCTTCCGGATTTTTGAACTGCAATAGCCATTTGAGTGCAGCATGGTCAGTTCGTAAGTGGAATTTCCGCCCTAGAAGATATTTGCTAAAATGCTGCAAGGACTTTACCACAGCAAGCAATTCCCGTCTTGTGACACAATAGTTCCTTTCCGGCTTTGACAACGACTTGCTGAAGTACGCTATCACAATCTCTTGATCACCATTCCGTTGAGACAACACACCGCCAAGTCCTATATCACTTGCGTCTGTGTCAACTATGAATTCCTTGCCCGCATCAGGGTACCCCAAAATAGGTGTTTTGCACAGGCGGTTCTTGAGCTCCTGGAATGCAATATCGCAACTTTCATCCCAGCAGAATTGTCGCTTCTCCTCGGTTAGCTTGTGCAGAGGTTTGGCTATATCTGCAAAGTTCTTCACAAATCGCCGATAATAAGAGCACAAACCCAAAAATGCTCTAACCTGTGTCTTGTCTTTTGGGACCGGCCACTCCTTGACAGCAGCAATTTTCTCTGGATCCGTGCGGATACCTTCTTCCGACACTACATACCCCAAAAAACTAACTTGCCGTTTGAATAGTGAGCACTTCTTTGGACTCAACTTGAGGTTGGCACTCTGGATCTTCATGAGCACGCGTTCCAGGTTTTGAAGGTGTTCCTCAAACGTACGGCCTACGATGATGATGTCATCCAAATAGACCAGACAAGCATCTCCAATTAGCCCGGTAAGTACAAGCTCCATCAACCTTTCAAACGTTGCTGGAGCATTGCACAATCCAAACGGCATGACTTTGAATTGCCACAGACCCTTTCCTGTGGAGAATGCAGTTTTCTCCTTGTTCTTAGGGTCAATTTCAACCTGCCAGTGGCCACTTTTCAGATCTAGCGTACTAAACCACTTTACGCCTGTAAGCATATCCAGCGTGTCATCAATTCTTGGCAAGGGATAGCTGTCCTTCTTTGTAATGTCGTTCAGGCGGCGATAGTCAACACAAAACCGCATGCTGCCGTCCTTCTTCTTTACCAGCACCACAGGTGAACACCATGGACTAGATGAAGGTTCAATAACACCATCCTTCACCATTCCCTCAATCATGGTTTCCACTTCCTTTTCACGTGCTACAGGCAATCTTCTTGGCCGCTGACGAATAGGCAATTCTTGTCCTGTGTTTATTTTGTGTTGAACTAAGCCAGTCTTTCCTATGTCAGCTTCGTTTGACGAGAAAACATTGGCGTACTTGAGTAACAACTTCTTCGCCTTGACCATTTCATTCGGGGAAAGAACGCTGCGACAGTCTTCCAAAAGTGTGGTCACTATCGTTTGTCCATCCTTGCTGGGGGTCCCGGTCGATAGATATTCGCATCGACGCAACCAATCCACTTCCTCACTAGTACCAACCAATGTGCCTTTTTCTATAATCTGTTCCTGATCACAAAGGTTCAACACACGTACTCCTGAGATGTCGGTGGTTCTGACCAAGGTTCGAGCCACTTTCCATGGAAGGTCATTGTCTACCCTTTCCACGAGTACACAACGAGGGGCTTGCCCAGAACTCCGAGGAAGACTAACCGGCACAATCGTTTCCGATCTCGGCGGAAGAACAATCTTCTTAAGGCTGTACACATTCCCTGGTAACGCCTCTTCCACGAAAAGTTCTTCTTGTCCACATTTCAAAACACCTTGCTTAACGTCGATCTCACAACAATTCTTCCTCATAAAGTCTAGGCCCAGGATGCAGTCGTCCATTATATCTGCCACGATGACATTATGCAGGTAGATCATGTTGCCTAGCTTCAACTCCATCTCCTTCTCTCCACGGACGGGTATGCGCTGACCAGTGGCTGTCACCAAATTAATGCGTTCTCGGTTGTATGCGGAGTCCCCAAGGAACCGACTTATAAGTTGGGAACTGACAACCGTGCGAGAGGCTCCAGTGTCTATGGTCAGTTTACATGGCGTTCCGTTGACTTCGCCCTTGATGATTAGGCTGTTCCCATCATGAGTTTGTGAGATCGAAATCCTTGGGGCTCTTTTAACATCAGCCAGCACCCGCCAGTTTCCCTGCTGCTGCTGGGCGGTGCTATTATCCGCACTACCCTCTCGAGATCGATCACCTTCCCTTTTTACAGTTCGCTTAGGGCAGCTGGATCGAAGATGGCCCCTTTCTCCACAGCCGTAGCACCTAGGGCTGTAGCTTTTATTGCGGTCCTGAACTTTAGCTGCTGCAACCTCCCTGACGCGGTGGGAACGATGATCCTGCCGCACGGCTTCCACCTCCAGTGCATGGGTCAAGGCGTCCTTAAGCGTCTCGTGGTGCCCGAGCCTCACAGCAGCTCTGACTTCAAGGTCGCGGATGCCGTCGATGAATGTCTGCACCAGGTTCCCTACAATAAGCGCAGGTACAGACTGGTACGCTTTTCGAACCAGCTTCTCCACCTCAAGGGCCCACTGCTGCAGGTTTTCGTTACTGCGTTGCAAGCGATCTTTGAGCTGCGCACGAAAGACGTGTTCCAGGTGAGTGTCGCCATATCTCGCCTCCAATGCCTCAAGGAACTGCTCGTAAGTCACTTCCTTACCGAGAGCTTCCAGAACAGTTAATGCCTGGTCGCGCAGGCCTAGGGTGAGAGCAGTCATGGCCTGACTTTTATTCCAGCCGTTCGCTTTCATGACAGCCTCGAACTGGATTTTATAGGCCGACCAGGAAGAAGTCCCGTCGAACGGTGGCACTTTGAATCCACGTAGCGAAGGTGTTGTAGCTACCACGGGAGCTGTAACTCCATCCCCAAGTTTGAGGTCGTCCAGCGTTTTCTTCACATCAGCCATCACGTTGTCAACCCGATTGTTCACTTGGTCGATTCGGGTTTCAGCTTCCGACAGGCGGTTGTCATGTTGAGCAACCCTATCCTTCACCTCCTTTATCTCTTTCCCGAAGGTAGCGTGAAGGTCCTTCCTGAGGAGCATCTGTTCTTCCATACCGCGCTGCAGCTGCTCTTCCAGCCGACGGGTCTGTTCCTCCTGTCGGCGGGCCTGTTCCTCCTGTCGGCGGGCCTGTTCCTCCTGTCGGCGAGCCTGATCCTGCAGCATCATCATCAGAGCACCTAAGTCAGGTGCTGCAGATGCAGGAGCTGCTGACGGGCCAGCCTCCGTGGTTAGCAACTGGCCCGCCGACGTCTGTGACGTTGCACCACCAAATCGTCTCTGGTCCGTCTCCTGTTGGCGTTGACTTCGGGTACGGATACCCTCGGTGTCGTCTTTAGGTAAAATCGGCATATTTGATCCCACTTCTGACACCAATTGTTACGAGCTTGAGGTTCGAGACAATTAAAAACTGCCGATTGAATTACC